AGTATTCACCCCCTTCACATCACAAAATATTTGGAGTTTACCATCTGATTTTGTTTTTTTTCCAGGGCAATGGAATTTTTTTGTACCTATTCAGCCCTTTCTAATGGTTTCTAATTACAGATTATGCATATGATTTTTAATCAAAACTCGGCTGAAACTGAGCCATTCCTCTGATGGTGGGACTTGTTAAAGCAATGCTGTGCACCTTACCTAATCTAGGTTTACCAGAGCTAAGGTAATGTACATCTAACATGAACATATTTTAGTTTAGGATTTTTATTTTATTTTTTCTCATATGTAACCTAGAAAAGTGTTCAGTTTGAACATCCATCTTTTGATTAAAAATACCCACTTAAAAAAGTATTTGGAATTCAACCAAATGGAATATCATTGGAAGGGGCTGAGTAATTTTGTATGACACAAAAAAAATCCATTGTCAGGGAGAAAAACTAAATAGCAAGTGGAAAACTCCAAATGTTTTGTGATTTATTATTTTAATTTTTAAAAATAAATTACTATAAATATTTAATTGATTTCTGAAAAAGATGGGGGTGTTTGGGGGCGTTTTAAAATAAAACCCAGATCTCCTAATCAAGTCTTTTTACTTAAAAAGACTGTTTCGTTGCTTTTTTTTCGATCATCAGCGATGCTGCTGTAACTAGCAATGCTTGTTCACAGCAGAGAATGCTTCTTTTCTGGTGCTGTTTTTGGAATTGTTGGGAAGAAATTCCCATGCCTGGCTTGCAAAGAAAAAGGCATCTTCAGATAATTACTGGTGACAAGGTTGCTTGTTAAATTCTCCCTAATTTGCTTATGTTAAAAAGGAGCCCGTGTGAAATCTTTCGAGACAAGCAGTACTCGTGTTGTTTACTACTGCATGGCTTTGTTGAGGGATATCATTATACCTCTTGAAATAACAGGTTAAAACAAGACCCCTGGTTGGCCAGGGACCTAGAACTTAAATGGTGTTCATCACTCAAGTATCTGTCATTTTGAAAAGATACTAACGCTTTTACTCACAATGAAATCGAATAGAGCTTAGCTAACCCAGAGTTTACTAATGACTCAGTGTGCTTTCTTTCCTGGATCATGATAAATCAAACCATATGACCAGGCCCAGTAAACTCTATGGCCTGAAATATTTGGAGTGGAGAGAATCCAAATTGCTTCTGACAATGCTTTGCATCCTTGTTGCTTGCTATCCTTCCATCAAAGAAGCAGGCTATTCATTTTTCACTTTCTGATGCTATTATTTAGCCACTGCTAAGGCAGAGGGTTTGTATTTAAGCTATTGGAAAAAGAATGATCATATATTCAGTAAATCCAGCATTTCTTTTAATCTTGTGGAAAGTATGAGTACAGAGCACTGCTTCTTTTTATAAATGCTGATGGAGTTTTCCGTTACAAACTGCCCTGCTCAAAAATAAAACTGAGACGATACTCAGCGCCCTGGATGTGGCAGCATGCCATGTGAATGTTCAAAAATTGATGCATTTAAGTTAAGAGTGCAAAACGAGATGGTCAAAACAGGGAGGTTTTATTTCAGTTAAACTGTACTTCCTTGCTTTTAAATCACCATATGAATACTCCAGAGATGTTCACTGTAGAATATATTTTCCTCACACAGTTTTTTGAAACGTGAAAGAAGCAATAGCATTCTTGTCTCTAAACACATGTAAAAAACAGTTCTGTTGATGATTTTAACCTGTTAAAGAAATTAAATAGCCATTGAATTCTAAATTATTTAAAGCCATTCACATGAAAGCTTTATGAATTATGCAACTGTCAACAAAGCAACAAATAAAAACTCAAGACAACATGTATCAAAGCATTTTGCTCTATTGCTAAATTTACTCCACTATTCCATTTCCTCAATCACATACAGTATATCCCATTTTAGAATCCTTAATTATGTTTAAATGAATTGAATCAGTTCTACTATTGTTTACCATTACCTATTTTGTCACCAACTTAATTGTCATCTAAACATTTTTGTAATTACTTTCAGCAAATTAAGAGGAAATTCTACTCCTGAGCAAAAGAGCTTTGAAAATCCTTCTTTAAGTCTGTTGTGCTTCCAGTAATTATTTTTACAATGTACAAATACTTACTTGAGCTTTTGTAAGTTTTGATGACGATCCTCCAGAAAGTAAACTAATATTAAATTCAAAAGGGAAGATCTATCAGAGAGGGAGGACATATCTTTTCACAAACAGAAGGTGATTCCTGATGAGTACTGTTGATATGATGTTACCAGAACTGACCATAGATCATAAACGTTTTCCGTTGAGGTTTTTCCTATGCTAGATTTGTATGTTGCTCTTTTTTGAAGAACCAGCAGAACTGTTACAACAAAAGCATGCACACATGCAGTCTTTCCTTGCCCAATCTAGATTAGAATTATTTTATATTCTGTGGTTTTCAGGTCACTGTCACATAGAGAAAGCACTTACAGTATATAATGAGCAGTAGAAGGAAAGGACAGATGAAACATTTCCTTCAGTTTGAGCTGGGCTGGCAAAATTTTGACTACAGCTTACTGTATTCAGAGAGACATTTTATTTTACTTTTTAAATTTGAACTCTAAAACCTATTATTTGATAAATTGCATTTGATTTACTTGGATTGATGACACCTAATGTATTTTAAATATATTTATCCTCTAATTAATTTAAATATATTTGTCCCCTGATTAATTTAAGTGTAGCATTATCTTATAATTACAACTGAAACAAGCATGACAATTATTACAACAGTATTAATAACCATTCAGTTTTCTTATTTTCATAATGAGTCATTTCTTGTTTCAAGATCTCAACAACTGACATGATGATGTCATAATTCTTAATCATAATTTTCAAATGGCTCACAACATTAACCCTTATCCCTAAAATGAACCATTGAACCAAAATATACCTATTCTAGGTATAATATACAGTACT